GTCCTCCTCCCATAGGTCTTATCAGAGTCTCCCTCCTGCCCAGGAGGATCCGTCTGCTATCTCGCTGGTTCAAGTATTTCACTCTATCCCTGCCAGCCTATCTCAGCTACTCAAGGCGTTATTTACCAAGCTCAGCCTCTGGCAGACTAACTTGACTGCAAAACAAAATAGCAGATTGTTATCAACATTCCCAGCACACGGTTCAAGGGGCTGAGGGGGTGCGAAAGCCAGAGAAATGTGTGAAAAGGTCTCATTAAATCCGCTCAAAATGGCACACTATACCACATTTAAAGAAGCAATTAAAAATTGTGAAAGTGGAGGGGTGATACGAGGATATAGGATTGATGATTAGCCCAGGGCGGAAGGAGAGATACCACGATTAATTGGCAGAAAATTCGTCAAAGGATCGGCTTCACTTATCTCTTTCACAAGTTGTAGTGTGGTGCTAAGAATGGCAATGCTCACTACGATGCCGGAGAGACGTCTAAGAATGTACCTTATCAATGGTCCGACTCTGGAGATTATCATACATACTATCGATTCCGGACTAGTTGCGATCCTCTAGGTCCAGGAGCGATAACAAGGTCAAACAACGTTTATACAAACAAAGGAGACTGCCAACTTACAAAAGACCACACCATCTTGGTTTTCATATCTTCGATAGGCAAATAAAGTCTGCCTAAGGTGAAGATAAAAAAACGAGGGCAAAGTAGCTAATGGAGAAAACGAATAGTCCTATATAATTATATCCGGTGAGCGTGTTATTTCTGAACAAGAGCTTAGCTACTTTAGATCACCAAAGATGAGTTAAGGAATTTTTTCTATAATTATATGAGTAGGTTATTGAATTTGATCAAACTATGCCTCTCAAAAGATTCTTTTGTGCAGGTAAGACTGCATTTTAGATACCTATCACTCCAAATTTTGCTTGCAAAACGCCTACTTTCTTATAACCCACTATCATTTGTAGCTATGTAGCGGAGTGGTAATGTCTCGCAACTATGCGCATTACTCGGCTACTGTTAAGACCTATTAGAAGTAGAATCTATAGCACCATTAGGATAATAAAGTCTTTTGAAGATGCTATTAGGTGAAAATCGTTGGTATCGTGAGACCGAATCCGGTCACTGAAGGAAATCACATTACATTAGTGACGTTTTATCAACGTGTTTTGTAGGTAAATACATTTATTATTATAGTGGCATATTATAAGTAGCAATTTTATTTAGGCGTGCATATAGTGTGTTTACTGAGAAAATGAAATTAAAGAAATTGCACTACGAAATTTAATAAAACCTGAAATAAATCATAATTATTAGATAATCGATTATAGGAACCAGATAGTATGTGATTTTATTCGAGAGACAATTTCAGTTGAATTTAGAAATTTTATGAAAATGCATATTCCCTAGCAAGCCTGCCTAATTTGAAAGGGAAAAATATTCATTTATACTATCAACTTAATTTAGCAAAATAATCCAACAATGAGATAAAATTGAATGCGAATTTTTGTGAATAATTGTGCTAAATGAAATTAGGCATTGGTCATTATCCATCCCGAAATACTGGATGATTAAGGCTTTTTGAGTTACAACCGAAGATTAAGAGAAAAGCAGTATTAAACACAGACATATTTCACTCACCATAACTGGCATTAGAATATAGCACTTCTGCTGAGCATTCTGACCCGTAGAAGTCAGTCTCGATTCGACTATTCCAACGCCTGCGCCACCCACACTAACAGCTTCAGAGGCATTGCTAACAAATGATTGAGCGGAGTTCTGAAGATCCATAATGAGATGAGCCAGTTGCTGCATTACCCAGCGTAAAAAGTCCTGATCAACAATCAAATGATGGAGTTCAGCTTGCATTTCTAGGTGATCAGTCTGGACAGAGCTGGCAGAATGACGATACTTTTCAGATCCAGGGATTAGCAGAGAATAGGAGCCAACTTGAAGAGTTTCTAAATAAGGAAGGGCATTTTAATAAATAAAGAAAATGAAATGAAAAAAAGACCATTTTGGAGTATGCCGAAAAGTATTGCCGGTAAGACTTAACTATCATTAATATAGCTTCGAAGTTCAAAATCTTCGAAATTACACCAAAGCTACAATCTACTAGAACTTATAAATATAGCTTGTTTAAAAAGAATATATGAGTATAGGAAAAAAATAAAAGAGTAAACTGAGTCGATTAATTTAGAGTAGTGAGTATGGATTTACAAAATAAGTAAAATCTTTTAGAAGAACTACCTATTATAGTCCGCTTAATAAAGCCTGATTATTGATCTCCCCAAAATAAAATGAAATGACTTCAAAATTGCAGTCCAGCATAGATGAGAAAGCCTTTTGGGAGACAGGACACAATCAGCTCTGCTCATTTTATAACCGCTACCTCAACTATTGGACATTCTAATATTATGTTAGTTCTATTAATTTAATTACCCACCACTTGGTTGAAAATTTAAAATAACATTAAATATAGTTAATTGCTTGAATATTTATATTTATTTTAAAAAGTGATATTATAGAGATTATTAAGTTACTCGCCATTTTATTTTCTCTGTTATTCATCAATCTATCGACTAGGAAGTATGGTAGATTCAAAAATTGAATGGCCTTACCAGATGAAGAACCGAAGCTATGCACTCTGAAGGTATCCTCCTCTGATTCGCCAGATCGCATTTCACCGCTAGAGCGCACCTGCCGACGACTGAGCTGTACCGGGGTGAACCGGCTTTCGGCTAGATGTACAATACGACTGACAAACTCAAGAAGAATATCACACCAACGGCCCATTAGAGCTTCGCTGTCTGTAAATGAAGGTCCCAACATCTATAAAAGATGCATAAACCAAACAATAATGGGAATAGGCAAACCACAATACAGACAAGAGTGCAAAATGAAAAAGAAGTTTAGTATTACTAAAAAAATAATATGGATGGCCAGAGAATAATACAGAGGCAACACCGAAGATCTTAAGTGCTATTTTGGTATAATCCGTATTTAAT